TGCAGGCGAGGGGCGGGGGGGGGGGGGGGGAGGGCAGGGAAATCCTGTTTTAAATTTGTTTCTAAGTCATTTCAGAAACCAAGGAATATAAAATGAAACAATAAACTATTCCCTATCTACAGGGACAGTTCACTCCTTTAAGGACAGTTAGGTATCCCCTCTAGAAATCAACATCCTAGTCTGTATGAAAACCACTCCAAATACTGAATCCTTGAAGTTTTTATTATGAGAGTTAGAATTAAGATGCCAGAGCCAAGTTCCCAATTTAATTTAATTATTCTTTTCCCCCCACACACACTTACACACACAGAGTCACTGATACCAGCCAACAGGTCTCAAAACCTTAAGAATTATACCTGAAATAGATATCTAGTGACATTAGTTCTCATCAAAGAACGGCTGTTTGAGGAAAGAGTCCATCCATGACTGAAATAAGCCTTCCACTCATCACACCCTAAGCAGTACAAGAACATTTTTGTACAAGCAGTACAGGTAGTTTTATCAGCAAAAGAGCATGAACAAAAGGTTAATATATGGTTGGATATTATTTGAATAAGAAATCGATTTGATTCTGAAGCACCAGAATATCTTTACCTTTTTAAAACATGGAAGATTGTTCCTCATATAGGAGGAGATACCTATGTCTGGACTGACAAAGGAACATATTTGTGAGCAGTTGTAAAAGAAAAAAAAATGGCATCACCTGGCAGCCCACGTTAACTGATCTTGCAAGTGTACACAACTGGCACACTAACTAATCAATGTAATTACTTTCCCCACGCAGCAATTACAAACACAAACTACAAGGGAAGAGGAGGATAACTGCCTTTACCCCCCTATACTTTAACTTCACATTTGTTTTACCTACTGTACTTGGGACCATCTTTCAGTATCCACATACATCAATGCACTGTAACATTTTACATCTCCTCTTTAATCTTACCAGATGCTGTCTGTAGCGTCACTCCAGCTGGTACATGTATAGGATAAGCAAGACCCGAAGGGAGAGTCAAAGTTGGACCCGCTCGCGAAGCACCCTAGATATACAAGAGCTTTACTAAGAAACAGTGCATACTTTATCTCCTAGGGCACTAAGAGTCACATGTAACATATCCACGTGAAACACGAATGAGGGCCTTTTTGAGATCATCTTTACTGACAGGTTGCTTCAGACTTTTGAGATTTAGACAGATAAAGAGTATTCTGTATTGACAGGATAATGACTTGCCCTAAGGGTTTCCTATTTTCCAGTTATCACATTCCTTTTTGTTAACAGAACACTTTTCTGTACCCCCTTAATGTACACACCATCCAGAAAGGTACTTTCCCCACTAAGAGCCACTTTTACCTAAGCTTATGTATAACTTGACACGGCACAGACTCCTAGCCTAGGCCTATGAAGTCACTTCACATTCTCTTTTTCTCCTGGAAAGTAAAGTGTTAGATATATAGGCTCCTGTAGTGGGTCGACCCTGGCTGGGGGCCA